ACCATGGCTATCCGTGAAGTCGTACAAGAGAGCATAGGTTTTAGTCCTAATGAGTTAGTGTTTGGACACACTGTCAGGGGCCCTATTGCTGTCTTGGCCGATGAATGGAAGACTTCTCGTCCGCCAGAAAATGTTTTAGATTATGTGAGCAGTTTTCGTTACCGACTCTACGAAGCTAGAGCTATCGCCCAACGAAAATTAGGTAAGTTTCAGGGGAAGATGCAGAAACTGTTTGACCGCAAGGTTAAATTTAGAGAGTTTCAAGTAGGTGACCAAGTGCTGGCATTGTTACCAGTTTTGACTAGTCCTTTCCAGGCTAGGTTTATGGGACCTTATACAATTTCAAAATGTTTTCCTAACAACAACTATCTGTTAAACACGCCTGACCGCCGAAAGAAACTACAGGTTTGTCACATAAATTTATTAAAATCTTATACGACAACTATGACTTCTCTGTCTGTAGATATTGTGTCAACTACTGTTGGTCAGAGCACTTCAGAAGTATCTGAGGAGATGGGGGAAAATTTAGGTCCCATAGCTGGGGATGAAATTAACGGTCCTTCTAGAGGAGTAGTGGAAGGGCGACTCCACAATTCTGAAGTTCTTGCTAATTTGAGTTCTTATTTGTCTCATTTGTCTGAATCAGAGAAGACTGACCTAATTACATTGGTAAGTTCATTCCCCTCTCTTTTTTCTGATGTTCCTACCCGAACTCATGTCATTGAACATGACATTGACGTTGGTGTGGCTAAATCTGTAAAACAACATGCATATCGAGTAAACCCTGTAAAAAGGGAGTTGCTTCAGAAAGAGGTAGCTTACTTACTTGCTCATAATTTGGCAGAACCCAGTTTTAGCTCTTGGAGCTCTCCTTGCATTCTTGTGAGTAAACCCGATAATACTTATCGTTTTTGCACTGACTACCGGAAGCTTAACACGCTGACAAAACCTGATTGTTACCCTTTACCTAGAATTGATGATTGCATAGATCGTGTTGGCTCTGCCCAGTTTGTCAGCAAATTCGACCTTTTGAAAGGCTACTGGCAGGTGCCCTTGACATCTCGTGCTAAGGAATTGTCTGCTTTCGTTACACCTGATCGGTTCCTGCAGTACACCGTTATGCCTTTTGGGGTCAGAAATGCTCCCGCTACGTTTCAGCGGTTGGTGAATCGAGTATTGTCTGGGTTGTCAGGATGCGAAGCTTACTTAGACGATGTCGTTTTGTTTAGTTCTTCTTGGTCCGAACATCTTGACCAAATTAAAGAACTTTTTGTACGTCTGGCAAAAGCCAATTTAACGATTAACCTTGCCAAATGCGAGTTTGGAAAAGCCACCGTGACCTATTTGGGTAAAGTGGTTGGTCGGGGTTGTGTGAAACCAATCAATGCTAAAGTGGATGCTATTAACAGTTTTCCTACACCTAGTACCCGCCGTGAACTCCGCCGGTTTCTGGGAATGGTAGGATACTATCGAGGGTTTTGTCAGAATTTTTCCAGTGTAGTTACTCCTTTAACTGATTTATTGAGTCCCAAGAAACCATTCCAGTGGTCAGAACATTGCCAGAGTGCCTTTGATAATGCAAAAGCCCTGTTAGCCAACGCTCCCGTACTCGCTGCACCTGATTTTAAGAGACCGTTTCTCCTTGCAGTTGATGCCAGTGCCTCTGGTGCGGGCGCGGTTCTTTTACAGGAAGATACTGATGGAATTTCACATCCGGTTAGTTATTTTTTAAAAACGTTTAATCGCCATCAGCAGGTTTATTCGACCATTGAAAAAGAGGCTTTAGCCCTTGTGCTGGCAGTTCAACATTTTGAGGTCTATCTGAGCTCCATTTGTGGTCCTATCATAGTTTTCACAGATCACAATCCTTTGACCTTTTTTAGATCGAATGCGTGGTAAAAACCAAAGAATTATGAGATGGAGTCTTATTTTACAACCTTTTCATCTCTCGATCAAACATATCCGCGGCAAGGATAATTTGATTGCCGATGCTCTTTCACGTACGTAAATTTTGTTTTTGGTAGCGTTTGTGCGTTTCTCTTTTTCTCCCTCTCTCTGTCCCTCTTTTGATATCCTAGGGCCCAGGAGATCAAGGAGTGAAATGGAACGGGATTATGGAGATGAGTATAAACGACCCTGATGTTTCTGTGCGAAATCTCTATACAGAAATTTTGCTGTTGTTCATATTTTGTTTTTTATTCATTTTTCCTTGTCGGTTCTTTAGGGAACCTCTTTTTGGAATGGGAGGTGTGACGACCCTGAGTGTACTCCTTACCTGATGGTGGCAGTCTGTGGGAGTTTTGAGTCACTCCCCCATGTTAATTGTTAATTAGGAAATTTAGTATTTAAGTGTTTGAGTTTTTCATTTGGTAGGCACTCTCTGTGGGATAGTTTCTCACAGGAGTTGCTCTCTACATCTCATTTGCTTTTCTTTCTTATACTTATCATTATATCATGTAGCTTTAATATTTTGTTGTAGTTATTTTGTTTATTTCTTTGTTTCTTCATTTTCCTTAGACTTATGTTTGTTATGAGTGGTTATTGTTATGTTTGTTAAAGAGAATAAAATCTTTTTTTTCATTCATTGAACTTTTGAGTTGATCCCTCTTTCATGTTGCGGCTTTAAACGAGTTGGTCGTAACAGAAGGCAAAAGAAAATTTGTAATATATTGTGGAGTCAGATCATCTAACCCCTTATACACATATAATTAAACCTTAAATTAACACGGTACTCAACCGGCAACCAGTGAAGTGAAGCCAGAACAGGAGAAATATGTTCCCCTTTTCTAGTTACAGTAAGAAGCGAGGTACAGTGAGTTACAGTAATCCTACCAAGTGGAAACCAAAGCATGATTCACTGTCTCAAAATCCTTCCCTGATAAAAATGCTTTCAATTTTTAAATGGATCTGAAATGATAAAAGCCACTCTTCATGATTTGTTTATCAGATTTTAGGCCGTTATCAAAAATCACTCCAAAAATTACTAGCATGAGAATTCACAGATAAAAGACCCAGATTGTTATTTATCTGTATAATAGATGCTGGTCCAAAAACTTCAGTTTCTGTTTTAGATTTAGTTCGCTGCATCTTAATTCCGAAAGACAGTCCAACAAAAAGTGCATGTAATTTTCCCCATGTTTCAAAGGGAGGAAAAACTTGGTATCATCCACATTTTAAATGATAAGGATTTGATTCCCTATCATTTGGAATGACATGCTCACGAAAAATCTAATCTAAAGGGAGCAAATAAAACGAAAACAAAAGCGGGCCCAAAACCGATCCCTGAGGTACACCACAAGTTAATGGTACTAGAGAGTAAGAAAAATCCCCAACCTCCACCGAAAATGTTCTAACAGAAGATAAAATTGAAACCCATGTAAATGCATTCATGCCACCTCTGAGCAACATTAAACAGTCTGTGTAAATACAACAAAATCAACATGGCATCATGACTTTGCGTAAACATACACGCCACTTTCAAGTCAAGTGGCGTGTTATCTATACGCATTTTAAGCTATCCGCGCATATGCGTGTATGTCTACGCCGTTAAATGTCCGAGCGAAACAAAGCAAAATGTAGATCTACATCTGGGGAGCGAAATTTTTTTCCTAGGATGGTAGGGGAACACTCATAAATGGTATTAACCCCAGTGACGGGTAGGTTTATGTACAGGGTTGGGGTAGGTCATATTTATATATACAGTAATGTAACGTTAAGTCAACGGAGTTGATAAACACGCTGAAAAGCGATTATGCGTGTTGATAGCACGCCAAAAATGGAAATACGAATTGGCGTGTCATACACACCATACGCCATTTCATGAGATCAGTCTGACAAAATTACACTTCAGAAGCGCTTCTGTGCCACCTTTACCTGGGATATAGAACATTATACATTTCTATTATTCAAATCATGTAAAATGTTAGGCTGCATAGATTAGTTCAGCCGGAACCGGGAACACTTCCCATAAATCCTGATGTACTCGTTACATTATAAGGATGGCGTCTACGCTAATATTAAGCCCAATTTATACTTCTGTGTCGAACTCGCGTACGCTGATGTGCACCTCTCCAAAAATGTAACGCGTCAATTCTACGCAGACGCAAGCGCTGTGATTGGCCTGTCAGAACCGCTCCCCGGGTTTCACGCGCTCCCTCTGCATGTGTAATTGCGCGTCAACGCGGACAACGACGCAGAAGTGTAAATGAAAACCAACGCGTAGTCTATAGCGTAGAGGCTCCGGCGTAGGTCCGACGCAGAAGTATAAATCAGCCTTTATTCTCTCTGTTTATCCCGAGGTTTACAGTAGTCTGCCGGATCCAGGCCGTATCCATCTACACATACACACACACACACACTCCAGATCTGATGAAGGACCTGTGCCTGGACACGGCGACAACACACACACACTCACTGGACACGACAACACCGCAGTCCTGAAGTGTCACTAGTCCCTCCCTGTGAAGGCCTTCTCTGTTCTCTCAAACACACGTACCTATAGACTAAACACGTAATACGCATGTGCACGCCGTCGCCATTTTCACAGATTCACTTTTTTAAGTTTACACGGAGAGGATAACGTTTTCAACATTTTTCAAAACTTGGACCTGTTTCAAAGTTTGCGTTCTCGAGCTCCAAGCACTGTTGTGTGTAAATGAACGGCCAGAACGCATTAAAAGTTTTCTGTGAGAGCGGTGTCGTGTTAGCGGCCCCTAAGTTAATAACTAATGATCTTTACAACGGAAGTGAATCAATCAAAACTAACTTTATCTGGACAATAACTTTATTCTAGAGCTGCTGTAAAGCCTAAACAATCTCTGTTACTGTAATCTCCTGTTATCACTGTAAAGCTGCTGTGAAACTCTATATATTGTTAAAGCGCTGTATAAATGAAGCTGACTTGGCTACAGTGTTGGCATGATACGAAAAGCCAGAGATGACTCCAGCGAAACAGAACCCTATGTAACCGAGGTGCTCGTGTCTGGCGTTTCTTCCTCTAGAGTTCGATCCTCCAGCGAACCACAGTGTGTGTGTGATGCAGATGCAAACGCTGACGGGGGCTTTCCTCTTCTCCCTGGAAACACAGACCACCATCGGCTACGGGTACCGGTGCATTACTGAAGACTGTCCGTCTGCAATCGTCCTGCTCATCCTCCAGCTCCTCATCACCACCGCGATGGAGATCTTCATCACCGGAACGTTCCTTGCCAAGGTGCACACACACACACACACACACACACACTTACACGCCGTCCGGGAGTCAAAGAGATGGTGAACGTGATTTCACCAAGAACAACATGATCCTGTATCAACATCTTTAGCTGATTCTGGAACAACATTTCAATCAACTAATCAGGGGTTTCCCGAAAGCGTCGTTAGCCAACTGTGTCGTTATCAGCAGTTCAACGAGTCGGTGTTTCCCGAAACCATCGTTACAATGAACATTCGCAAACAGCATCGCAGAGTTGTGTGTGTGAGCGACAGATCTCGAGCTGCGGTTAGAAGCAGAGTTTAGTTTGCATGACATGTGGACTCAATAAATCCTGATCTTGAGCAAAATAAGCACTCTGACATTCAGTGCAACCCGTGTCTTTAATTTAGAATACATACAAATGTCATTTACGTCTTTGAGTTTGTCAAGAGATTTAAAGCACCGTTTTTGAAGAGTGCGCATGTGCGAACGAGCTCTAGTGTAAGAACGAGTCTATGATTGAATCTGGAAATAAAGCAAAAAAAAACTCCACCACGTGCGTGACATCATTAACCAACGTGGTTGAACGACCAATTTGTGACAAAATAGGTTTCGGGAGACAGTCGAGACTATAGTGGACTTCTTCAACGATGCATCATACTATAGTAGTGAAGCAGCGAGTTACGGCGTTGTAACACACCCCTGATTTGATGGACAAGTTTACATTTTATGTCAAGTTTAGGCTTACATCACATCAGCAGTGTTGGGGGAAAGTTACTTTGAAAAGTAATGCATTACAATATTGCGTTACTCCCTTAATATGTAACTAATTGCATTACTTAGATACTTTTTTTTAGAAAAGTCATGCGTGATGCGTTACATTACTTTTTTTTTCACCTGGGCTCGGCTAAAAAAAAGTTTTATTTTTGGGTAAATTTAAAGACCCTTTCACACCAAAAGTGAAATAATAATCCTCAAGCTGAAGGAAATGCAGACTCACTCCTGCACAGTAGAGGGCGCCGTTCAAGCAAACCTTCAGCTTCAGGAGAACAAAGTTTAACACTTACTTTACCAATAAAAAACAAAGAAATCTATTGTCATTTCTGCTTATGGTTTAACTGAATCATCGAAGGTCAGTAGCAAGTACATTGGACAATAAAGTAAGATTAAATGCATAAAATTGTATGTTTTATTTAACATATTTAGTTATTGGAGGTTTGTATAGTATTCTGATTCTGCATTTCAATGATTTTATTCATTTTTAGGAATATTGAATCTTTTTTTGTGCAAGTGAGATGAGTAAATGCACACTTACACCATTTTTGGACACATTTACATTATTTTCAACAGCACATTTAACCCCAAAAAGGGTGTAACTTTGGTTTGAGAAGTGGGGTGGGACACAAAATGGGGGAAAATGGGCCACGGTTCTCGTTTTTGTTGTGCATCCAGATGTGTTTATTATTTAAATATGTATATTTTGGGGTTAGATATGACCCAGATATGTTTGTGACAGGGTTCATTATGTTCACCTGCTGCATGTTTCTTCTCTCTCTCTATATATCTATCTTAGGTGGCTCGGCCGAAAAAACGTGGTGGGACGATTCGGTTCAGTCAACACGCAGTGATAGCCAATCACGACGGCCGACCGTGTCTCATGATACGAGTTGCCAACATGCGCAAAAGTCTGTTGCTGGGCTGCCAGGTAACCGGAGGAGAATTATCACTTCTTATCAAGGTCACCAGTTACTGATTCATTTATTTAATGATTTTTCACACAACCAGAGAACACAGAACAGAATGAAATTGAATTACATATTTGCTCATGAACACTCAGTTGTGGATGCCGTTTTTCTTTGTTAAAATATAAGCTACATGTAGAAATTCTAATAAGCATAAACATATACAGCACTCGCAAATATTGATTTAACTGTGATTATACTTTTAAGTTTTGAATAATTACATTTATAATGAACATTTCTCTCTTTTGGCATTCATTTCTGCAATGAATGAATTGAGATTGCATTCATCACAAAGGACACATGCAATGCTCTAGAGGCAGTATAATTATGACGTCTTCCATTTAGAACTGGTTTCACACAATATTATAAATAAAAATGAAGGTTCCAAAATGGGGTTTTCATAGAGATGCACCTTTTGGTTCTTCTGTGGCATGATCATTTCTCTAAAGAACCTTATTGGTTCAACGGATGTTAAAGGTTCTTCATGGAACCATCAATGCAGATAAAGAACCTTTATTTTTGAGAGTGCATGGAAATCTCCAGATGGTGCATTAATACGCCATATTAAAAGACAGCTCACTAGGTCTTGGAAGTGAAATATTGAGAGTACTTTGCAGACAAATGTAATTTTTCTCCAGGTGACAGGGAAGCTTTTACAGCCGTGTGTGCCGAAGGAGGGAGAGACGGTGCGTTTGGACCAGAAGAACGTGAGCTTCAGCGTGGACACGGAGAGCGAGAGCCCGTTCCTCATCCTCCCCCTCACCTTCTACCACACCATCGATGACGAGAGCCCGCTGCAAGCCTGGGCCGACACGGGTACGGGTCACAATCCAAAAACACCAAGTGTGACCCTGGATCACAAAACCAGTCACGAGTCGCACGGGTGTATCTGTGGCAATAGCCAACAACACATCGTATGGGTCAAAATGATCGATTTTTCTTTTATGCCGAAAATCAGCACAAGTAAAGATCATGTTCCATGAAGATATTTTGTCAATTTCCTACTGTTAATATATAAAACATTTATTTTTGTAAATGGATGCAGCACAGTCGTGAACATAATGCACAACTTTAAAGGTGATTTTCTCAATGTTTATTTTTTTTTGCACATTGATTCCAGATTTTCAAATAGTTGTATCTCAGCCAAAAATTGTCTTATCCATAGATAGATGCACTTTTATGATGGATAGATGCACTTTTATGATGGATAGATGCACTTTTATGATGGATAGATGCACTTTTATCATAGATAGATGCACTTTTATCATGGACAGATGCACTTTTATCATGGATAGATGCACTTTTATGATGGATAGATGCACTTTTATGATGGATAGATGCACTTTTATGATGGATAGATGCACTTTTATGATGGACAGATGCACGTTTATCATGGATAGATGCACTTTTATGATGGATAGATGCACTTTTATGATGGACAGATGCACGTTTATCATGGATAGATGCACTTTTATGATGGACAGATGCACTTTTATGATGGACAGATGCACGTTTATCATGGATAGATGCACTTTTATGATGGACAGATTCACGTTTATCATGGATAGATGCACTTTTATCATGGACAGATGCACTTTTATGATGGACAGATGCACGTTTATCATGGATAGATGCACTTTTATGATGGATAGATGCACTTTTATCATGGATAGATGCACTTTTATCATGGATAGATGCACTTTTATGATGGATAGATGCACTTTTATGATGGATAGATGCACTTTTATGATGGACAGATGCACGTTTATCATAGATAGATGCACTTTTATCATGGACAGATGCACTTTTATCATGGATAGATGCACTTTTATGATGGATAGATGCACTTTTATGATGGATAGATGCACTTTTATGATGGATAGATGCACTTTTATGATGGATAGATGCACTTTTATGATGGATAGATGCACTTTTATCATAGATAGATGCACTTTTATCATGGACAGATGCACTTTTATCATGGATAGATGCACTTTTATGATGGATAGATGCACTTTTATGATGGATAGATGCACTTTTATGATGGATAGATGCACTTTTATGATGGACAGATGCACGTTTATCATGGATAGATGCACTTTTATGATGGATAGATGCACTTTTATGATGGACAGATGCACGTTTATCATGGATAGATGCACTTTTATGATGGACAGATGCACTTTTATGATGGACAGATGCACGTTTATCATGGATAGATGCACTTTTATGATGGACAGATTCACGTTTATCATGGATAGATGCACTTTTATGATGGACAGATGCACGTTTATCATGGATAGATGCACTTTTATGATGGACAGATGCACGTTTATCATGGATAGATGCACTTTTATGATGGATAGATGCACTTTTATCATGGATAGATGCACTTTTATGATGGATAGATGCACTTTTATGATGGATAGATGCACTTTTATGATGGATAGATGCACTTTTATGATGGACAGATGCACTTTTATGATGGATAGATGCACTTTTATGATGGATAGATGCACTTTTATCATGGACAGATGCACTTTTATGATGGATAGATGCACTTTTATCATGGACAGATGCACTTTTATGATGGATAGATGCACTTTTATCATGGATAGATGCACTTTTATGATGGACAGATTCACGTTTATCATGGATAGATGCACTTTTATCATGGACAGATGCACTTTTATGATGGATAGATGCACTTTTATCATGGACAGATGCACTTTTATGATGGATAGATGCACTTTTATCATGGATAGATGCACTTTTATGATGGACAGATGCACGTTTATCATGGATAGATGCACTTTTATGATGGATAGATGCACTTTTATCATGGATAGATGCACTTTTATGATGGATAGATGCACTTTTATGATGGATAGATGCACTTTTATGATGGATAGATGCACTTTTATGATGGACAGATGCACTTTTATGATGGATAGATGCACTTTTATGATGGATAGATGCACTTTTATGATGGATAGATGCACTTTTATCATGGATAGATGCACTTTTATGATGGATAGATGCACTTTTATGATGGATAGACGCACTTTTATGATGGATAGATGCACTTTTATGATGGACAGATGCACGTTTATCATGGATAGATGCACTTTTATGATGGATAGATTAGGGGTGGGAATCTCTAGGCACCTCACGATTCGATTCGATTACGATTCAGAGGGCTGCGATTCGATGCTAAATCGATTATCAGAATCTTTTTTTTGTGTGTGTGTGACTATAAATACTTTGCTTTAAAAGTAGAAAGTAATGACCCATAAAGAATTAACGTACAATATATTTTATTAACATTGCAAAGAACCAACAGGAAAATACATGTGTGTCTGAACTAGCAGCAGCATATTTGTAGTAAATTAATAATATAACAACGACCGGTAACGTTACAGCCGAGTGTTTTTCCTCCTCTGGCTGGAAACGTGTCATATGGCTTCTCATATGTGTCTTGTTTCCGAAATATTTTAGTTTTACTCTACAAAGCTTACAACTAGTGTGGCTCTTGTCCAGCTCCTTTCCCCCTTCAACTTCAGAAGCCAAAATATTTCCACACGTCAGCTTTTAACGAGGAGGGTGTTTGGATTTGGCGCTCAGCCATCGCGTCCGCGTCTGTTACGTGCACGCCACAGACGGTCCGGCCACTGCACTTCCGCGCTTCAGAGTTCCGTCTTTCGCGTTCCGTCAATATTACGTTATTATAAATATATATCTAAAAATTTTTTCTTTTTTTTGAAAATCGATTTTTGACAATTGTGAATCGATTCAGAATCGTCCACGTCCGCATCGCGATGCATCTAAGAATCGATTTTTTCCCCCACCCCTAGGATAGATGCACTTTTATGATGGACAGATGCACGTTTATCATGGATAGATGCATTTTATGATGGATAGATGCACGTTTATCATGGATAGATGCACTTTTATGATGGATAGATGCACTTTTATGATGGATAGATGCACTTTTATGATGGATAGATGCACTTTTATGATGGACAGATGCACGTTTATCATGGATAGATGCACTTTTATCATGGATAGATGCACTTTTATCATGGATAGATGCACTTTTATCATGGATAGATGCACTTTTATCATGGATAAATGCACTTTTATCATGGAAAGATGCACTTTTATCATAGATGGATGCCCTTTTATGATGGAAAGATGCACTTTTATGATGGATAGATGCACTTTTATCATGGATAAATGCACTTTTATCATGGATAGATGCACTTTTATCATGGATAGATGCACTTTTATCATGGATAGATGCACTTTTATCATGGATAGATGCACTTTTATCATGGATAGATGCCCTTTTATGATGGAAAGATGCACTTTTATGATGGATAGATGCACTTTTATCATGGATAAATGCACTTTTATCATGGATAGATGCACTTTTATCATGGATAGATGCACTTTTATCATGGATAGATGCACTTTTATCATGGATAGATGCACTTTTATGATGGATAGATGCACTTTTATCATGGATAAATGCACTTTTATCATGGATAGATGCACTTTTATCATGGATAGATGCACTTTTATCATGGATAGATGCACTTTTATCATGGATAGATGCACTTTTATCATGGATAGATGCACTTTTATGATGGACAGATTCACGTTTATCATGGATAGATGCACTTTTATCATGGACAGATGCACTTTTATGATGGACAGATGCACGTTTATCATGGATAGATGCACTTTTATGATGGATAGATGCACTTTTATCATGGATAGATGCACTTTTATGATGGACAGATGCACGTTTATCATGGATAGATGCACTTTTATGATGGATAGATGCACTTTTATCATGGATAGATGCACTTTTATGATGGATAGATGCACTTTTATGATGGATAGATGCACTTTTATGATGGATAGATGCACTTTTATGATGGACAGATGCACTTTTATGATGGATAGATGCACTTTTATGATGGATAGATGCACTTTTATGATGGACAGATGCACGTTTATCATGGATAGATGCACTTTTATGATGGATAGATTAGGGGTGGGAATCTCTAGGCACCTCACGATTCGATTCGATTACGATTCAGAGGGCTGCGATTCGATGCTAAATCGATTATCAGAATCTTTTTTTTGTGTGTGTGTGACTATAAATACTTTGCTTTAAAAGTAGAAAGTAATGACCCATAAAGAATTAACGTACAATATATTTTATTAACATTGCAAAGAACCAACAGGAAAATACATGTGTGTCTGAACTAGCAGCAGCATATTTGTAGTAAATTAATAATATAACAACGACCGGTAACGTTACAGCCGAGTGTTTTTCCTCCTCTGGCTGGAAACGTGTCATATGGCTTCTCATATGTGTCTTGTTTCCGAAATATTTTAGTTTTACTCTACAAAGCTTACAACTAGTGTGGCTCTTGTCCAGCTCCTTTCCCCCTTCAACTTCAGAAGCCAAAATATTTCCACACGTCAGCTTTTAACGAGGAGGGTGTTTGGATTTGGCGCTCAGCCATCGCGTCCGCGTCTGTTACGTGCACGCCACAGACGGTCCGGCCACTGCACTTCCGCGCTTCAGAGTTCCGTCTTTCGCGTTCCGTCAATATTACGTTATTATAAATATATATCTAAAAAAAATTTCTTTTTTTTGAAAATCGATTTTTGACAATTGTGAATCGATTCAGAATCGTCCACGTCCGCATCGCGATGCATCTAAGAATCGATTTTTTCCCCCACCCCTAGGATAGATGCACTTTTATGATGGACAGATGCACGTTTATCATGGATAGATGCATTTTATGATGGATAGATGCACGTTTATCATGGATAGATGCACTTTTATGATGGATAGATGCACTTTTATGATGGATAGATGCACTTTTATGATGGATAGATGCACTTTTATGATGGACAGATGCACGTTTATCATGGATAGATGCACTTTTATCATGGATAGATGCACTTTTATCATGGATAGATGCACTTTTATCATGGATAGATGCACTTTTATCATGGATAAATGCACTTTTATCATGGATAGATGCACTTTTATCATAGATGGATGCCCTTTTATGATGGAAAGATGCACTTTTATGATGGATAGATGCACTTTTATCATGGATAAATGCACTTTTATCATGGATAGATGCACTTTTATCATGGATAGATGCACTTTTATCATGGATAGATGCACTTTTATCATGGATAGATGCACTTTTATCATGGATAGATGCACTTTTATGATGGATAGATGCACTTTTATCATGGATAAATGCACTTTTATCATGGATAGATGCACTTTTATCATGGATAGATGCACTTTTATCATGGATAGATGCACTTTTATCATGGATAAATGCACTTTTATCATGGATAGATGCACTTTTATCATGGATAGATGCACTTTTATCATGGACAGATGCACGTTTATCATGGATAGATGCACTTTTATGATGGATAGATGCACTTTTATCATGGATAGATGCACTTTTATGATGGATAGATGCACTTTTATGATGGATAGATGCACTTTTATGATGGATAGATGCACTTTTATGATGGACAGATGCACGTTTATCATGGATAGATGCACTTTTATGATGGATAGATTAGGGGTGGGAATCTCTAGGCACCTCACGATTCGATTCGATTACGATTCAGAGGGCTGCGATTCGATGCTAAATCGATTATCAGAATCTTTTTTTTGTGTGTGTGACTATAAATACTTTGCTTTAAAAGTAGAAAGTAATGACCCATAAAGAATTAACGTACAATATATTTTATTAACATTGCAAAGAACCAACAGGAAAATACATGTGTGTCTGAACTAGCAGCAGCATATTTGTAGTAAATTAATAATATAACAACGACCGGTAACGTTACAGCCGAGTGTTTTTCCTCCTCTGGCTGGAAACGTGTCATATGGCTTCTCATATGTGTCTTGTTTCCGAAATATTTTAGTTTTACTCTACAAAGCTTACAACTAGTGTGGCTCTTGTCCAGCTCCTTTCCCCCTTCAACTTCAGAAGCCAAAATATTTCCACACGTCAGCTTTTAACGAGGAGGGTGTTTGGATTTGGCGCTCAGCCATCGCGTCCGCGTCTGTTACGTGCACGCCACAGACGGTCCGGCCACTGCACTTCCGCGCTTCAGAGTTCCGTCTTTCGCGTTCCGTCAATATTACGTTATTATAAACATATATCTAAAAATTTTTTAATTTTTTTGAAAATCGATTTTTGACAATTGTGAATCGATTCAGAATCGTCCACGTCCGCATCGCGATGCATCTAAGAATCGATTTTTTCCCCCACCCCTAGGATAGATGCACTTTTATGATGGACAGATGCACGTTTATCATGGATAGATGCACTTTTATGATGGACAGATGCACTTTTATGATGGATAGATGCACTTTTATGATGGATAGATGCACTTTTATCATGGATAGATGCACTTTTATGATGGACAGATGCACGTTTATCATGGATAGATGCACTTTTATGATGGATAGATGCACTTTTATCATGGATAGATGCACTTTTATGATGGATAGATGCACTTTTATGATGGATAGATGCACTTTTATGATGGATAGATGCACTTTTATGATGGACAGATGCACGTTTATCATGGATAGATGCACTTTTATCATGGATAGATGCACTTTTATCATGGATAAATGCACTTTTATCATGGGTAGATGCACTTTTATCATAGATGGATGCCCTTTTATCATAGATGGATGCCCTTTTATGATGGAAAGATGCACTTTTATGATGGATAGATGCACTTTTATCATGGATAGATGCACTTTTATCATGGATAGATGCACTTTTTATCATGGATAGATGCACTTTTATCATGGATAGATGCACTTTTATCATGGATAGATGCACTTTTATCATGGATAGATGCACTTTTATCATGGATAAATGCACTTTTATCATGGATAGATGCACTTTTATCATAGATGGATGCCCTTTTATGATGGAAAGATGCACTTTTATGATGGATAGATGCACTTTTATCATGGATAAATGCACTTTTATCATGGATAGATGCACTTTTATCATGGATAGATGCACTTTTATCATGGATAGATGCACTTTTATCATGGATAGATGCACTTTTATCATGGACAGATGCACTTTTATGATGGATAGATGCACTTTTATGATGGATAGATGCACTTTTATGATGGATAGATGCACTTTTATGATGGATAGATGCACTTTTATGATGGACAGATGCACGTTTATCATGGATAGATGCACTTTTATCATGGATAGATGCACTTTTATCATGGATAGATGCACTTTTATCATGGATAAATGCACTTTTATCATGGATAGATGCACTTTTATCACAGATGGATGCCCTTTTATGATGGACAGATGCACTTTTATGATGGATAGATGCACTTTTATCATGGATAAATGCACTTTTATCATGGATAGATGCACTTTTATCATGGATAGATGCACTTTTATCATGGATAGATGCACTTTTATCATGGATAAATGCACTTTTATCATGGATAGACGCACTTTTATCATAGATGGATGCCCTTTTATGATGGAAAGATGCACTTTTATGATGGATAGATGCACTTTTATCATGGATAGATGCACTTTTATCATGGATAGATGCACTTTTATCATGGACAGATGCACTTTTATCATAGATGGATGCACTTTTATGATGGATAGATGCACTTTTATCATAGATAGATGCACTTTTATCATGGATAGATGCACTTTTATCATGGATGGATGCACTTTTATGATGGATAGATGCACTGTTATCATGGATAGATGCACTTTTATGATGGATAGATGCACTTTTATCATGGACAGATGCACTTTTATCATGGATAGATGCACTTTTATCATGGATGGATGCACTTTTATGATGGATAGATGCACTTTTATGATGGATAGATGCACTGTTATCATGGATAGATGCACTTTTATGATGGATAGATGCACTTTTATTATGGACAGATGCACTTTTATCATGGACAGATGCACTTTTATCATGGATAGATGCACTTTTATCATGGATAGATGCACTTTTATCATGGACAGATGCACTTTTATGATGGACAGATGCACTTTTAACATGGATAGATGCACTTTTATCATGGATAGATGCACTTTTATCATGGATAGATGCACTTTCATCATGGATGGATGCACTTTTTTGAGCTTCAAACGGTTGGTTGCAATTCACTGCCATTATAAAGCTCAAAGCGTCAGGGTGTTTATTAATAAGCTATAACTCCGATTGTATTCGCCTGAAAGAAGAAAGTCACATACACCTAGGATGACTTGTGAACTATCCCTTTAAAACTGAATACTGAAAAAACAGAAATTCCAAATCATTCTGACCCAGAGATGCGTTTCTCACTCTCATCAGGTGGAGGATGGACAGAACCCGATCCGGTGGATTTTGAGCTGCTGGTTATGATGATCTCCACAGTAGAACCAACATCGGCCACCTGTCAGGTGCGGACCTCATACCTGCCCGAGGAGATCCTGTGGGGGTACGAGTTCCCGCCCATCGTGTCGCTCTCGTCGATGGGAAAATACGTGGCGGATCTCGCATACTTCGACAAAGTGGTGAAAACTAAGACCCCGCCCCTTTTTAAACAGACTCCGCCCCCTTTCAAACAGACCCCGCCCAGTGGCACCCGTGAAACGGACCCGGAGAAAATGCGCCTGGAGCAAAGCTACCGAGAGGGAAGCGATGAGAGACAGAGCGTTCGCATTAGTAACGTATGAAATACATAATCTATCTCCGATAAATATAGAATGATTTGATATGTTGATAATCTTCAGCGGCGCGTTTAAACCAGGATTTTTGCATATGGGATAAACTGCGTAGCATAACACCAATGTCCTTAAAATCAATTAATTGAAGTTATTGGTAACACTTTAACTTATGTTAACTAATGAACCTTATTGTAATGTATTAACTGACATGATGATACATTATGAGCAATATATTTGTTACAGTATTTATTAATCTTTGTTAATGTTAGTTAATAAAAATACAGCTGTTCATTGTATGTTCATGTTAGTTCACGATGCATTAATTAATGTTTACAAATACAACCTTTGATTTGAATAATGTATTAGTAAATGTTGAAATAAATTTTAACTAAGATTAACAAATGCTGTAGAAGTATTGTTCATTCTTAGTTCATGTTAACAAAGGGAGTTAACTAATGTTACCGTAAAAACCTTATTGTAAAAGTGTTACCAAGTTTTTAATATTGCATGAACAGCATCAACCCAATAAGATGCACAATTATTAACGCAGCATAGGCTGAATAGGAAAAATGATAACTTTGTGTATTGCTAGTTCACATTTGGAAAGTTGAAATATAGCGTAATGTGCTTTTAAATTTGACAACCTGTCACATCACAAAGGCCATTAAAAATAAACTAGTGATTAAAAAGGTGAAATGTGTATAAAAATGTTACAGGATAATCACTGACACATTATTATGGAAGCTTGTTTACGCCACAGAATAAAAAAG